AAACGAAAAGCATTGAACTCAAGGCGTATCTCACACGAAGCGTAAGCAGGCGCTACACTGGGCGGGAACACCGGAAAAATCCCGGCTGACAATTGGACGTATTTAAATCAAAAGGAACTATAGCCGTTCCGTCATGAGCCGCGAGATCCATAAGAACTCATGCATGGCAGGGCTCATGACACAATGAATACAGTTCCTTTTGATTTAAATGCGTCCAATTAGAGGTGATTTTGGCCAGTTTGTGCCTCTCAAAAAACAACTAATATGGGTCGATCTCAACTTTAACGGCCCGATGTTCACTGTCACGTTTTCAGTGACAGTCCGCCCCTGGCTTCAATAATCATTGAAATTGATGGACAAAGCTATAGACAAAGAAGATAAAAATGATATGGAGGGTTCCTATTGGTGGAAGCGGGTGGTTGCAATGGACAAAGGAGTCCTTTGTCCATTGCAAACGTCCTTTGAAAGGACGTAGGTAATAGAATAACTAACGGCAACTCACGTGAGACCCGGGATAGTTAGTCCATCATTTACCCCCTAGTCTATGAGAACCACCCATTTAAACCAATAGTATCGCTCTATACTCCTTATGTCTTCTTTGTCTATAGCTTTGTCTATACTTTTCAATAATCGGCCCGCTGTATGGTTTGTGTTATAAATGATCCAGATAGATCTCGACTCCTATACCCACATTCATTTAATCTATAGTGATCTCATATCACTTTCGATGTACGATACGATATCAAATAATAACTTTTATCTCAACATCACCCAATTCTTTAAATATATTAGGCTTTAGCTCTCTGTAATTTGTACCTCTTCTTGATGAAGTAATGTCGCCTTGTTATTACGGTCAAAAATGATATCTAACCTGCGGTCGTTGCTGTAAGACGAAATCCTAAACGTTTGTTGTCGTAAAGCCAGCAGTTCCCAGCTCCTCCACAAGTTTTGCCTGCGACTAAACACGCACTATCTACGGAGAAAGAGCGAATTATGAAAAATATTTAATGAAGAAAAAAAAAAAAAAAAAAAAAAAAAAAGAAGATTAAAGCAAATAATGAGCCGTCCATTTCATCTTCATATCCTTGAAGTACTCGTACTCATATTTCAAGTACATGAAAGTGAAACTGTTACTCTCACTGACTTTACTTCGTTGATCTCGAGAATGATTTTATTTTACGTATTTCGTCCGTTTTGGTTTCTTATACGGCTTCGGCCGCGTCAGATAATTGAAATTGAAAAAAATTAAAAAATGCAGCGCTTTGATGACTAATACCTACGTTCGGAGAATCCAAGCAGTACACATTGCAATAAATTGCAGTTAAGTGGTACAATTGCACTCAATTTTACAATTAGGAACTATGGTTTCTGGCTCAGTCTAGAAACAATGTATGTACCATGATTTTCCCTACACACATAAGTGTTTTTACAGATTGGCCGGGAGTTATACTGCCGTGCTAAGGAAAAGCGCCGTATGAACCTTCAGGCGTCCCTAAATTGCCATTTATAAAGCACGAATTTCTTGGTAAACTGATGAATACTTTTCTTCCAATTTTTCAGATAATGTTGCTCGCTATTTTACCCAAAGTTCCTGAAAATTACAAGGAAAAATATTCCTTACTTTGCTCAAAAATAAACATTTTATCGAAGGAAATTTGGCGACGTTCGAATGTTCATACGGCGTTCTTCCTTAGCTTGGCAGTATAGTATAGTTCCGAATTGAAAAATGTAGCCCAATTATTGCCCCTGCATCGGCGTGTCGCGTATGTTGCCTGTCTACCGATTGAAGGGGTACCGCTTAAATGAGGTTTTTCATCGCACTGGCCACTGCATTGCCCATCGACGTTCGACGGTGAAACTACCACACCACGTATCTCGGTTTGCGACGTCGTAACTCCCTGTCATACTTCGTTTTTTAAATGGGAAACCACTCAACGTCAATCCTTGAAAACTTCCTTGTTTTTTTTCTGTCTGTGCGAGGATCACTCTGTGAAAATTTCAAAAAATAATATTGATTTGCTCTCCTTCAAAAAAATAAAACGGGAGCAGAGATTTTTCAACGCTGCAAACGAGCACGTGACCTGATAATTTCACCGGCGCTATCGGTCTGACACTTATGCTTAAAATCGGCATTTATTGATCAAATGATGAAAAAATATTGCAATTTTATGGTAAAAACAACTCAATTTTAATGCAATAAATCGCAATTTTATTCATCGTTTGTCATATAAATGTTGTTATATATTGTTTGCAATGAAAATATTGTTATTAATATTTTCATTGCACTTACTTGGGAATTTGTGGTGGAATGATTGCGATTGAAAGTTATTACGTTTCATGAACCCGTTAGTAACATTATTTCAGAATATCTCAAAGGCAGCATACAGCATCACTGCTGTGCTTGGCAAAAACCTCGACAGAATCGCACCCAAGAGAATCTGGATATCGATCGAAGAAAAAGTACTTATTTTCCATCGTGAGTTCGCAAATCTCCACGCGCGCATGTGGTCTTTTTTCAAGAGAAAACTAATAACCTACGGTTGTTCTTGCATTTTTCGTGAATTTTCGTCCCTCATTTGAAAGATATTTACATTCAAAGAAATTATGTCAAGGATATAATTTTTTTTTTTTTAACCAAAAAATAACTCAAACAGATTTGGCAGTTTTAAACATTGCAACGGGGAATCGCATTTTTCGACTTCAACCATCACCATCAGTATGCAACCTTGTCGGCCTGCAATTTTAGTTTTCACTAAATGATTTTTGCACAGGTAACTTTTTCTCAAGGAGCTTTTTTTTTCTTTTAAGTTATATCTCATGTAAAACTTATACTTAGCTAACTCCTCAGTGAACTTGTGGAACGTACCAAGGAGTTTTCCATAAACGATCGGTCCAGGAATGTAACCAAAGAGAGCACTCAGAGTTATCAACAATCCCATGAAAATGCTTTTATCTTGCTTCTCTACACTCCTATGGAAAAAAGAGTATCCATTTAAAACAATTAGTTCAATAAACTTGACTCTCCGGATTCCAAAAATAACTTAAAAATGGACTGAACATCAATGGAAGACAACTGAGAATCTATCAATCAATAATGAGCTGATCGCATTTTACGTAACAAATTTGGGATGAATTAAGTCGTGAGCTACCATACGGTTTA